AACCCTTATGCCATTTATCCCTTACAACAATTTCACAAGGTATTGTCTTTACGTATAAGGAACACCAGGGTTCAGAAAGCCTAGGTATTTTGTCTAAACCCACACAGCTAGTGTGTGCCCACTGAGTGCCGGTGTCAGGCACACAGAGATTCTGAGAGCTTGAGAAAGACCCATCAAAACTTATGATGCCAACCTCACAATCTTCAATCAACCGGAGAGTCCCTGAACCCCACATGCACATCTGTGCCATCAAAATACCCGGATGCCACCTGTTCACCTTCTTATGTTAACTAAGAAAATGAATCATACAGTTTTATGTGCCAGGACTGTGCTAAGCACTTTACATGAATTATTTTAATTCAGTCTTTTCAAGAGCCCTACAAAGTAGGGTTTTTGTTGTTGTTTTTGGGACAGGGTCTCACTCTGTCACACAGGCTAGAGTGCAGCGGGGCAATCTCAGTTTACTGCAGCCTCAACCTCCTGGGCTCAAGTGATCCTCCCATGTTCGTCTCCAGAGTAGCAAGGACTACAGGCATGTGCTACCATGCCTGGCTAATTTGTGCATATTTTGTAGAGATGGGATTTCACCGTGTTGACCATGCTGGTCTTGAACACTTGAGCTCAAGGGACCTGCCAGCCTCGGTCTCCCAAAGTGCTGGGATTACAGGCATGCACCACCTTGCCTGGGGCCGGAAGTAGGTATTCCAAGCTGCAATTTACAAGACAGGAAAACTGAGGCTGTCAGAGGTTAAGCAGACTGCCCCAAGTGCCTTAGTTGAAGGAGCAATACTGCCAGAGTATTTTTCCATTAAGTTTGGTAGTTATAGGAGTGTTAGACATTCCCATATACAGTTAAAAATGTTTTGATTAAATATCTAGACAGGCCAGGCTTGGTGGCTCACGCCTGTAATCCAAGCACTTTGGAGGCCAAGGCGGGCGGATCACCTGAGGTCAGGAGTTCAAGACCAGCCTGACCAACACGGTGAAACCCTGTCTTAAAAAAAAAAAAAAAATTTAAGAAAAAAGAAAAAAATATCTAGACAATGACTTTGCATATTGATTTTTGGTTGCTATACACACATCTTAATAACCAAACACCCTTTGGTACGAATTCAGTGGCTAGTCCACTTTAAGTCTTTTTTATAGCAGGGATTGGCAAATGACAGCCGGAGGACCCAATCCAGCTCAATGCCTGGTTTGCTGAAGTTCACAAACTGGGAATGTGGTGTTTTTGTTTTTTCAAATGATTGAAAAAAAATCAAAAGAGTAATATTTCATGACATGTGAAAAGTACATTTAATCCAAATGTCAAGGCCTAAAAATAATTTTATTAGAACATAACCAGACTCATTCATTTACGTGTCATCTTACAGACGCTTTTGTGTTATAACAGCATAGAGTGGAGAAGTTGTGTCAGGGACTGTATAGTATGCAAAATCTACGATATTTACTCTCTGGGCTTTTACAGAAAAAGTTTGCTGACCCCAGTTCATGTTACAACTGGAGGTTCTGGATTTTTTTTCTACTAAATTCCAGAAAAAAAATTACCTTCTTTTTCCAGAAAGAACATGAAAGCAGTCTTCCTATAAAAAACGTTGACAGCTTAGGATGATTTGAAATGACACCATTAGGTTCTAGTTCCAGTGACTGGCTAGCGGGTCCAGCTTGAAAGACCCCCTCCCTCCCTCATTTTAAATACCCTAGAGTTGGCTCTAGATGGTAAAGCTGGGTCTTACTACCCAACCTGTCCTCCCATTATTCATCGTGACCGCGTTATGGGTTTAGTTTCACAACATTATGAGTTCATCCGGGCTTCTTGAATCACTTACAGGAATTTTCATTTTCATTCTCAAACTCTTACACTTTCTCTGCTGTGAATTTTTTTCTAACATAAAGCTCAGACTACTAAATGGCCTACACAAGTACCATAAAGTTTATACTTTATTTTTTAAGCAATCAGAATTTTTAAAAATTGCTTTTTCTTGACAAACTAAACTTAATTTTGCAGGCCACAGAAGAAAATACCTTTATATCCAATGATCTCAAAGCACCTCTGGTGAAAATACATAACAAGGTAAAGAACGTCTATTTTTAAATACTACTTCTTGGAGGAAATACTATTTAATGGAAAAGATGTGACTAGTAACAAAGTCCAAGGCTATTTCTGGTTCTGCGAATGACTCACTTTGACTTTGGGCAAATCATCTCACCACTGTTGCTCTTTATCTGCAAAAACTGGACTTCATGCCTATGGGAGTTGCATGGCTAATCAATGCCTGGAAAATGCGTAGTGGCAGATGCTACAAAAGTGCTGAGCCTTAAAAAAAAAAAAACCCACCCCCACCCCCCAATTTGTATTCAGTTGAGGTTGGGGTTTACTGTTATTTAACATTCGAAGGCCAACACTATGTTAAGTCCAGCATGCTGCACAGAACAGATAATATCACTGTCCAGTAGGGATTTTTTAATCTAGGATTTTTGACTTTTAAAAAATTTACTGTGGTTGGGGGTTATTTTAGAATCCGATAATACACCGATGCAAAAACGTTAACCTTTAAGTTGCAAACTATCGATTGGAAAACCTAAATAAACCCCCTCCACCAAAAAAAAAAAAAAAAAAAAAAGCCCTCCCCCCGCCCCGCCAAGAAATCTCTCAAAAACAAGAATTCTTCTGATGTTTTTCTCCTCCCTGCAGTTCTCCATGTTACAGTCCTCGGAGGTAGAACAAGCATAAAATACTTTCACTAATAAAATATGACAAACCGCCGGATTATACGTGGCCGATTCCCAGTGATTGCCCTGCTACACAAAGCAGAAAAGTAAATGCCATCATCCCCCTTAGAACAAAAGAACTTAGGAATAAAAAACATGGAGAGGGGGGAGAAAGCAGCAATAAATAAAGGTGAGCCAAGGCCCCGGTCCCCCGCCCCTCCCGGGAGCGAGTGCGGGACTAAGTACTGCTAATAAAGTGGTTCAAGGGTAGTTATTTGGAAAGGGGGCGGGGTGGCGAGGGGAGGGAGCGGGCGAGCGGCTGCCGAGGATTGCATGTTGCATTCGACTTGAGGTTGCATCTCTCCTGTTGCCTGGACCACGCTCTCCCATTGCAGTGCTTCCTCAACGCTTCTCCTCGCTCCTGCCCCTCGCGGCTTTCCCCCCCGCTTCAAACTGCTGTTGCACTGGAGGGAGTTGGGGCCGCTCCGGAGCCCCTTTGCAGCTCCCGCGGGCGGGAGGGGTGAGTTGGGATCGGGCCGCGGAGTTGGGGGGGCCGCCGCGGGCTCCGGCCTCGCCTCGGCTGCGGCTGCACAGGAGCCGAGCTGCGGCGCTGCACGGGCCCGGGATTGCGGCGGCCCCGGAGTTTGGCCGCCTTCGCCGCCGCTAGGTGCTCGGCCCCATCACCGCCGTCGCCGCCGCTGCACTGGAGTTTGGCTGCCGCTGCCCTACTTCACTCTAGTTTAGTTTCACTCACTTTACATCCGGGTTTTTTCCCTAGGCAATGGGTGCCGCAGCACACCCCGTTCCTTAGGCAAAGTGAAATAAATTCGCCGCACCGACACGTCAAGTAGTCCGCCCGCCCGAGCGCCGCCGCGGGCCCCCGCCGTCCCCCCCGCCGCCCCCGGTGGGGGGACCCGCACGTCCCGGTAGCCGCGGGCCGAGGCGCGGGGGCCCAGGCCGGCCGCGGTACCACTCCTCCCGGCGGCCCCCTCCCTGTCCGCCGCGGCCCGCTCTCCCCCGGCGCCTCCTCTCCCCTCGCCCTCGTCCCCGCTTTTCCAGCCCCAGTCCCTCTCGCCCGGCTCTCGGGAGCGGCGGGGGCGCGCACGGCGGCGGCGGCGGCGGGCCGGCGGGGCCGCGCGGCGGGCTCCCGCGCGGGCGAGTGTGTCTGGGCCTGGGCGGAGGGATCCCCGGGCTGAGGCGGCGGAGGTGCTGCGGCCCGGGGCCGGGTGGTGAATGGGCTGGTGGTGCTCGCTGCTGCTGCTGAGGAGGAGGAGGATGAAGAGTTGGGCTTGTTTGTCTCCCACAGTTTCTCTCCTGCTGCTCTGATTCCCCCCTCCCGATTCCGGCCCGGGGCCTGTGTGTGTCCCTCCTGGAGGAGGAGGAGGATCCAGTTCCTCCCCCCAACCCCCTCCTCCCCACCCCCCCTTGCCTGGGGAAGAGGAGGAAAGAAACAGCCCAGAGAGAGAGAGAGAGTGAGAGAGAGAGAGAGGGAGAGAGAGAGAGGAGAGGAGGAGGAGGAGGAGGGAGAAGGGAACAACCTACCATCTTAACACACTAATATCTAAAAAGTGCGAGAGGCCCAGAGCAGCAGCAGAAGCAGCAGCAGCAGCTCCAGCTTCTTCCCTCCCTCCCCATGAAGAAGAGTTCCCTCCTCCTCCTCCTCCTGCTTCTCCTGCTCAGAGTTCCTGCCTCCAGCTGCCAGGGGGGACAGCCAGCCAGCAGCAGGAGGGTGCAGTATCCCAGCTTTTCCATTCTCTCTTCTCCTCACTCTCTCTCTTTTTTTCTGGAGTAGCTCTATTTCCCCTCCCTCCCCCTTCCCCCTCTGCCTCTCTCCTCTCTCCCTCTGTCTTGTCGCTGGTGTTTGTCTCTGGGAGGATCAGGGGCTGCCTGCTTGGAGTTTGTTGTGGGGGGAGGTAGGGGGAGGGGAGGGGTGTGTGGGAGGGAGGAGGGAAAGGGGGGTGTTCTCGTCAGGACCCCTCAGTCAAGTTGAGATTTGAGCAATAACTTCCCCTTCGGGGCGCCCCCCTGCGTGCCCTTCCCGTACCTCCCCCCCCGAAAAAAAGACAATGGGAAAACCTTGGCTCCCCCCCTCCTCCCCTCTGCCCTCCACCCCTCCCCAGGATAAATTGGAAGTAAGTTTAGGAGCAGCCTCGGGATCCTGGGCGCAGAGTGCAGGGCCGGAGCGGGTGACAGAGGCGGCGTGCCGGGGGCGGCAGGGAGGGGGCGTCACATTGTCCCGGAGGGGGGCCGGCCGGGGGCCGCGGGCGGGGGCGGGGGGCGCGGAGCCTCGCCCGCCCCCCTCGGCTGTCCCTTGGCCCGGGGAGGGTAGCTGGGGCCCCTCCACCCCCCCACCCCACCCTGGGATGCTGTCGGGGGGGAAGTTTTTATTATGGTTATTTAATTAAAAAAAAATTTTTTTTTTGGAAAACCATCTTGTTTGGTGACTGAGGGATCTGGTTAAAAAAAAAAAAAAAAAAAAGCTGCGGCTGCTGACGCTGCCGGGCCCGAGTGTGTGTGTGTGTGTGTGTGTGTGTGTATGTGTGTGTGAGTGTGAGTGTGTTGGTGCATTTGTCTTGGGTGGCCGGAGCAGCGTTGGGGAAATTCCGCTTATTCTTCTTCTTCTGCAACTTGTTATTCCGGAGAGTCTGCCTGCACCCCTCACCCTGGGGCCGGCCCTCCCGCATTCGCCCCCGCCGCCGGCGGCCGCGGGGCGCCCCCGGGACCCCAAGCGGGCCGGGGCGGACAGGCCGTTCCGAGAGGGGCCGCGGCCGCCCCTCCCCCGCCCGCGCCCCCGCCGGGGGGAGGGGCGCGCGGAGTGGGACTCTTTCCGTTTGGTCCAGCCCCGTCGTGCACGCAGTTCCCAACACTTCTCGTCATCCTCTCTTTGGTCTCTTTATTCTGCTGAGCGGTGCTGTTAGGATTTCTTTTTTTTTTTTTTTTTTCTCCCCCTGACCACGTTCGCAATGGTGGGTAGCAGCAAGGTGGCCCTGTTAGGGGAGGGGTTGGTATCGAGATTGGGCACCGGGGGAGAACGTCTCCTTTCAACTTTGTCTGTGGCTTGCACCCCCGGAGAAGGCCACAGGCCGGTTGTGGGGTGCAGATGTGCCGAGAGTGATTTCTAAGTAGTTGAGTTGTTGTGATGAGGATACGACTGCTAATGGTCGGCAGGTTTTGTTTTCATTGGTGAATCTGGTGTCATCATATTCCGGTCATATGTTGAAATATTCTTTGTTTAGGTCTGGAAGTAGAGGATCTCACTCTGCACGTCCACATTGTGTTGTTTTTAAAATGATGTCTCTGGGAGTATGGATTTCTAGAATTTCAAATCTGAGTGAAGGTCCGGACTTGTGTGGGCCTCGTTACCTGGCCTTGACAGTGAACTTTGTGGGTGTGTTTCGGATTTCAAAGATTTGCCCCATAGCTGGGGACCGAGTTGTGCATTTTTGCTAATAGTCGGTGTCAGGAATGTAGATGCTTGAGCTGGAGAAGTTAGAGAGGGAAGAACATTTATATATAAATAATGGGTAGTTGAATATTAGAATCAGATTAATTTGGGCAGATGAAAGTTTGTTTGTTTGTTTTAAAGCAGTTATGCACTCTGGGAAGGAAGCCTTTTCACAGGTTCACTTGATAGGGATTCTTTAAGGCGAGGGGTTGGAATTATCTCCTTTTTGAGAGGATTCTCATCAACATCTGTAGCTTTATTGAGGGCCTGATAAGGGTACTGAAATTGGGGCTAAACCATGTTAGCATACTTTTCAGTATTTATGATATTTGTTTACATCGGGTGTTCACTTTAATTTGGGCAATAGAAATAAATAGGTCAGCTTTGCTTTTGGCCTTTGAAGTCTGGCCCCCTCCTTCCTTCTTTAAGTTTCACAATTTACTTGGTTTACAGCATTGTTGGAAACTGTTACTACATTTTTACTGGAAATACTATTATTCATTTTAATTTTGGTAAGTTCCTTCTTATTCTGTTCTTCTGTCTTCACTTGTTTATGGAATCTGTGTTGTGGGCTTAAGCTAGTTTATTTTAGAAGGTCATTAAAAATGTCTGAAAAATACATTTTCAAATCCGGGGACCTATCTTTTGATGGCAAAGAGGAAATTTTGTGTGCAGTTATACTAATGTTTATTTAAAATATTTCTGTACTTAAAACGTTTGTAGATGTACAACTATCCTTAAGTGAAGAGCATAGTAATAGTGCACAGAGTTCTCAAAGCACAAACATCTGGCTAACATGTTAAAAATCTTCCAGGTGCTTTTGTTTTGTTTTTTAACATCAGACTTTTGCTTTTGATAACATAATAGTATTTGCAGTTTGACTGGCATTGCTTGACTGCCCATAATAAAGTTTTTTGCTTGGGTGCTATTGAAGGCTTTTTAACTTAGTTTTTAGATAATTTTGCAGGCTTGATGTAAGCATGTTATATTTTGAACTCAGGCAAGTTGTTATGGAACTGGAGTAGTAATAGATGAAAAAGACACCTACCTGGGCTAATTGTATTTTTAGAAGGTGTAAGTGATGGATGGGGCCTATTTCTTTTAGCCTTGAAGGGTCCATCCTTTTTCCTATTCAGTCGTCTGGAAGGACCTGCCTCTGAAATATTCTTCTTCTGCTTACATGAAGATCTCTAAATGCTATCCAGCAGGAGGTGCTACAGCAAGATAAAGGATATTTTTGAATTTTGAGGGTCTTGCTACTTATTACAGCTTGACTTAGCTTCAGCTAAGCAACAGGATTAACACCTTAAAGTTCCAGAAAGATTTTGAGTAAGTCCATTTAAAACTTTCCATCATAAATTATGTTTGCTATGTGAAACTGAAGTCTTTGACTATACAAAGTAGGTGTGTGACTGTGGATAGCTTAAGGATTCTGGGCCTAGGTACAGAGCACTGTTTAGAATTATTTTATTTGGAAGGGGAGTTTGTCTTCTGTTGATGAGTGGGATGTTGAGCACGTATTTTTAAAAAATTATTTGTAGGTTTTATAAACAAAAGTAGTTGCTGTGATTTAGGGCTTTAAGCCTTATCATCCCTATAGTGTTAATAATATTAATACAAATAGTACATAGAGTAGTTGAGATTTTGGAAAAGGGGATAGTGTGTGGAAAAAATTTTAGACTTCTTCTGGTTTTATTCCGCCATCAGATTTACAGACAATGATTCTAATGTAGATCAATTTTTTCTCACTCAGCATCATAAATACATATGGTAGATATACTTGTTAGCCTGCAAAGACTGAGATTCTTGAACTGTAAGTAAAGTTCTGTCAGTGGCAGGTCATTGCTGATATAACAATAGCTGCATAAAGATTAATATAGTTTCATAGCATTTACAGCACATGGTCCTCTGAAACTCTGTTAGTGTTAGGTGAATTGATTATCACTGGAAATATCATGCCACGTGGTTGCTTGTAAAGTTTTGTGTCAAAGTTTTAACAACTTGAGGATGTTAGAAAGTTTGATAAATCTGCTTTGAATTTTGTCTATTTTGTAGGCATAATACTATTTTCTCAGTAAGACCAAATGAGATAATACATGTAAAAGTTCTTCATAAATGGTAAGAAACCGTGCAGATATTAAGTTGTTGAGATAGGTAACTAATTAATACATGGACAAAAGCTTCTGTCTTAAAATGCTAAGTTTTTCCGTTATCAGTTGACAAATGCATTTAAAGTGCACCCTGGACACTATAATTTTTGAGATGGAGTCTTACTCTGTTGCCCAGGCTGAAGTACAATAGCGCTATCTCAGCTTACTGTAACCTCCGCCTCCCGGGTTCAAGTGATTCTCCAGCCTCTCAGCCTCCTTAGTGGCTGTGATTTCAGGTGCCTGCCACCACGCCCGGCTAATTTTTGTATTTTTAGTAGATATGGGGTTTCACCATGTTGGCCAGACTGGTCTTGAACTCCTGACCTCAGGTGATGCACCTGCCTGGGCCTCCCAAAGTCCTGGGATTATAGGCATGAGCCACTATGCCCAGCCTAAATTTTTGTTTTTTAAATACTGCTGTGGTTACCAAAAATCTCTTTGTTATAGTTGTGAAGCTTCTTGTAAGAAATGCTGCCTAGTCAGTTTGCCATAATTAAAAAAAAAAAAGGTCATTTTTCCTTTTGAAGATCTTGTGAATTGTACGTCCCCTATTACAGTTTTTCTTCATTTCTCCATTGATAGTGATATGATAGTAGTTGATTTTAGTGAGTGTTTAAGTTCTTGGATTCTTCTATAGACTCTTATTAACACAGAGTAACAGATGTCATGGTTAAAGTTTTGAATGTTTTGACTGACTCTGCTAACTTTCCGAAAGAGTCTCACTGACTAAAGCTTTCAAGCTTGTTTCACAGTGAAAAAGATGTATATCTGTATGTGTTAGTATTAGATATATGTGGATATATCATTTTTGTTTTTCTGTTTTAGAAGGATGCACGAGGAAATGACTACTCAAATGTAGAGGAGGGCACTGAAATATTTTTGTGTAAAAATAACCCAAAAGTTTAAGCCTTAAGTTTCAGCATTCTTATAAACTCTGCTCACAAATTTGGAATAGAAAACATTTTAAAGTAAAATATAGATAATTAGGGACCCTGTGTTTATGAGCCTATCAAAAGGTATAGTATCTTAAATTTTAGAAGTGACTGTTGTTTTGAAATTGCCCCCGTTAGAAAGTAAATATAGAAACTTGCTTCTATGAAGGGTGAAAAAAACATTTAACTGTTTAGATAAAAATGAAACCTCTCTCAGGGTGTTATTAACTTTTTCATCCCACAGACAGTGAATATTAAAGCTTTCTGTGAAGACATACTGAAGTTAAGATTATATTAATATACTTTTAAATTTTGTATCCTTAATATTTTATTGCTGAAGGCTTTTGTATTTAGTTACTATTCAAAGACAGAAAGGAAGGAATTAAAGTTTTAGGTCTCTGACCTTTGACAGATTTCTTTTATATCTATACCTGGAACTGATTTCTTGAAGCATGTTTGAATTTTCATATTATTTTGTGCTGGGAAATATTAATGATTTATGTTGACTTCTCAGGAGCTTTTGTACATGGGCTTTTTTGTAAGCCTAAGACTTCTTTAGGAGCATAGTAATACATTTTGGTCACATTAATTTTACCAGGTATATGTTTTTGCTGCTTTGGGATTTTTTAAAAAAGAAATAATATGTTAACACTGCACTAAATTTATTTTAGATAATTATTTCTTAAATAGCATATATTTTGTACTTTGTGTGTATATGTGGCCCTACTATTTTGTAGGCTTTCATGTAATTCTTATATATGTGTTAAATTTTTGAATAGTTATCTTTTGTGAAAATGTTGAAATAGACTTTTAGGAATAACTTTTCTATTACTTGTCCATCAATTCAGTCTTAAAATTACAGTGAACTCTTCCCTTTTAGAAATTGTATGTGAGGTTCAGTCACCCTTTGGACCTTTCTAAAGCAACTTTCTTACACTAGACTTGTGTGGCAGTTTGAATACTCCTTCCCTTGTCCCTTCTAGTACCCTGCAAGTCTTCCACCCTCCCTGCCTTAAAAAAAAAAGTTGAATAAAAAAGCATTTGGTGAAAATATCTTAGTTGAAGGCAACTATTATTTTCTATATTTTGGAATCAGTTACAGAAATGTTTTCTGCTTTTTTAAGTTGTCAAGAATGTGAACCAGTATGGAAGGGATAGGAAGGGGATGAGGCCTAACAGGTTGATGATCTAGGCTTTATTTTGACTCTGTTTGTGGGCCTAGGGGGAAAAAATAACTTAAACACAGAAGCCAAAAAGATGGGTTTTGTTTTATTGTTTTGGCTGCATTGAGAATACAAACTGTCAGTACTTGAGGAGAAGGAGCAGCAGAAAGGAATTGATTTTTTTTCTGCTGCAGATCCAAGTATTGTTAACCATGTGCATCTCCAAAGCGACATACTTGCAAATCAAACTGTAGTTGATTCTTTCACTCAATTAACAGTCAGAACCCAAAATTGTTTTTTTTTAATTTTAAATGAGTACCCAAAACTTTGGGGTAATGACAATAATTTCCTGATAAAAGTGGGTGATAGTAACCATGGCAACTGCTATCTCTGGCCTTATGGACAGTATGTTGTATTGATGAAGCTTCAAATCCTTTATAGTAGCCTGTCACTTTTATGGTGAAATGTAGTAGCATGTGTTGCAGATGATTTTTAGCTGGATTGCGTTAAATTTGTGTGCCAGCTTATCTTTCCTTGTTAGGAATTTCTTGGACTTTATTCCAAAACATGTTTGTGAAGGTGCTGTTGCCTGAAAATAACCCACCACCTGTGTTAGGCCTCCTGATGCAGATTGCAGTTAGTTCTTTCCCAGCCTCCTTCCACAGTCTTGCAGAAATAGGAGGGTGTGTAGCAACTGTATGTATGTAAATTCTAGCTCAAACTTATCAGCTTGTGTTTGGACATGTTACTGATAGCTTAAAATTTTTTTTTTTGTATTTTCAGAAGAGGTCAGTGGATGAGAGAAGTGGGCCTGTAGTTGGAATACTGTTTTTCTAAGTGTTCTTTCTTGAAGCGTCTGTGTGTGTGTGTGTGTAGGGAATTAGAGATGAGGAATGAAGGCATAAATGTTGAGTAAGGACTTTACAAAAGCAGAACTTCAGTATTTTTGGTTTGTTTTTGTAATGGTGTATGTATGTATTACTATAAAAATTATTTCCTAGTGGGCAGTATTAGAATATGGGGAATGTTTGCTTGTGATAATTTTCTTCAAGAAAAATTATTTATAAAATATATCTTGAATAATTGTTAAAAGACAACCTGTTAAAACAAACTTTTTTTCTTTTTTTTTCCTTTCTTTTTCTTTTCTTTTTTTTTTTTTTTTTTTTTTTTTGATATGCAGTCTTGTTCTGTGGCCAGGCTGGAGTGCAGTGGCGTGATCTCAGCTCACTGCAACATCCACCTCCTGGGTTCAAGCAGTTTCTCCTGCCTCAGCCTCCTGAGTATCTGGGACTATAGGCATGTGCTACCACACTCTGCTAATTTTTGTATTTTTAGTAGAGATGCGGTTTCACAGTGTTGGCCAGGATGCTCTCAATCTCTTGACCTTATCCTCTGCCCATGTCAGCCTCCTAAAGTGCTGGATTACAGGTGTGAGCCACTGTGCCTGGCCAAAACAATTAAATTTTTTGAGGGAGAGGATTAAAGGGTGTTGAAATGGATCCATTCAAACTTTTAAAAACTGTTTTGAAAATTATATTTTTTATTACATTGTCTTTTTTATTTTTAATCATTTTTTTCTGTGCTTCTCCTATGTAAGATTTTTCTAATGCGAAAATGTTGATCTAAATATTGATACTTTTTCCAATATGTGCTAGAAAAACTGTGTGCCAGAGCAGAGAACATACAAATTTGGTGTAAATTTGATTAGACTCTGATAATAAAATATAGTCAAATTGTGCTAGGTAGTTCAGACTTTCTTGAAACTTACTGTGATAAAGTGGTTTACCTACTACAAGTCCCAGTATGCATTGCAGTTTTTGCTTAACTTCAGATTACAGCACTGCATGCTGGGACCTGTAGTTGATTTAAACAGCACGGAAAACCCTTCCCTCTTGTCTACTCCATTTTATACACAGCTTTCCAGGCTTCTAAGAACTTTCTGCTAAGTAGTTTGATTACTAATATTATTATTATTATACTGCTGAAGTTCTAAAGTGAGTCTTCAGAAACAGCCTGGTGTTTTAGTTTACATTAGATTAGTTTATTATATTTTTTTATAAGCTACTATAAGATTTACACAGAAA